GGTGCTTCCTTGTTCAGCAGAGGGTCACTATGAGTAGAACTGACCAGAGGACACCAAACAGTAGATTTCCTTATGGAGGGTGACCTGGTTTTCTGAAGCCTCGCTGATCTAATCACTCATAGAACTCCTCCGGACAGCAAGTAGACAAAGATTTGCCTGGACTCTGAGAACCACAGCCTAGCCAACTTGACCCATTAAAAGTAACCACCGTAGACACCTCCCAGCCCACCCAGAGCCTCTTCCCGTCCTCACAGTGCTGCAAGGGTGGTGGTGGGGATGTCGCTGGATGTCTAACTGTGACATCCCCCCATAGGACCCAGTCCCCTCTTCTGGGAAGACAGCAATGGAGCGAGACCACGGGGACTTCAAGGGACAGGCTAGGGAGGGAAGGGAGAGGCTGGGGGCTGGTTGTCGACCCCCACTCAGCTCCATCTCTCCTTCACTGTGAGCATGTGATCTTCACAGTTTGCTGAGTTAGGTGGACAACAAAGTGATCGCCACTCTTCCCTAAACTTGACACAGCACCATAAGCAGAGAGATGCCCAACGCGTGTCATTGTTAATGATTAGGTTCGGATCAAAGCAGGCAATTCTCTCATCACAAAAGGCATTTCCAGCTATGACCACTGAAGGCAGGAACGCCACAGAACAGGTATTTATAGCAACCAGGCCCCTCTGAGCACCTGCCAGGTGTATGTGGCGGGGCAGATGGCCTTTGAGGGAGGACCCAGTGGGGTGTCAGGGTGGATTTGGCAGTCTGAGTGCTTCCTGAGAACCCTGCATTCTTATGAATGAACGCCTTGGGCCCGGGGCTGGGGAGCAGGCTGGGAGGGGAGGTGGCCTCCCGGTGACTCAGGGACCTTTCCACTGTGTCAGCAGCACTGTCCTCACTTTCCTGCTTCCTCCCCACTGGGGGCCCTGCCCCTGGAAGCACTTTTGGTTGCCAGGAACCATGGATATTAGGATACAATAAAAAAAACTGGGTGGCTACTTGACCGATGACCCACATGGCTCTGTTTTAGCACTGGGTCAGAGGTGTGGAGGCAGCATGGGCCAAAGGAAGGAAGGAACCCCCCCAGAGAGGCCTGTCCACCAGCACTCAGCAAGCCTGTGGTCAGTGGGGCAGGGACAACCTTTCTTAAAGGGCCTGTCTGGGTACAGACAGAAGGAGGGCCTACACGTTTGCCAGAAGTCTCTCCATTAAGCCCATGACTTCGTCTTCCATACTTTGGACATAGTGTCAGGAGAGACCAGTCCCTGGAGAAGGACAGCATGCTTGGTCAAGCAGAGGGCTAGTGAGCAAGAGAAAGGGCTTCGATGAGATGGATGGTCACTGCGGCTGCATCCATGGGCCCTGGCATAGGAACCACTGTGAGGATGGCGCCGCACCAGGCAGTGTTTCCTTCAGTTGTGCAGAGGGTCGCTATGGGCCGGAACCGACAATGACAAGCCCACTCCTTGGGAGTCATGCTTCTCCATGTTGAAGTGACGGCTCACACATTTGGTAACAAGGACACCCAGGCAAGGCCGGTTCCTGGAGATGCCACCAGAGAGAAAAGGGCCGGACATCAAAGCCCCTGTCCATGGGGCACGGTGGACAATGCTTTTCAAACTAGTCTCTGGGTCGGAGTGGACTGGGGCTCCCTGAGGAAGAAATCCCTGGAACATTGGCTTTCCTGGAACATCGGGGGGCTCCGTGCTCCTGTCTGCTTTGGGCAGCTTCCCAGCCCTGCCGTTCCAGCTCATTTGCTCCGATGACAGCTCTCTCTCAGCCCTGTGAGCCAGCAACCCCCGTGCCCCACCTGATGACAACAACGACCCAGAATCGTAAGGTGATGACACCTCCTATCCTCTCTCAAGCTGAGCATCTGTCTCCCACTGCCCTGACCCTCTGGTCTCAGAGTGCCACCTCTCTGCTCCCAAACAGCCCCCCACATGCCAGATGGTTGACAGATGTCCCACCAACAGCCACAGGGGGTGCTGTGTATGCACCTGAACGCACCTATCCCTGCTTCCTGTCCTGGGCTAGTCCTGGCATCCGTGTCGGCAGCACCTGTTTGCACAACCCACTCTTATCTCAGACTCTGCCTCTTACACACCTGAGCAGTTGGGAGCCTCTCCACCCACCCCCATACTTCCCCCCACCCCCCAACAAAGCGGCCACAGCTACCAGACTCACTACCAGACTGCCTGGAAGAAAAGCAAGTTTAAGCGCTTGGCTTTCGGGGAAAGAGGTCAGGCAATCTAAAGAGCAAGATGGACACCATGGTGTTGAAACAAACAAACAAACAACACGGTCAACCAGCTCCCTGGGCCTTCAGCCAACTCACATCCAACCCCGCTTCTGACACTTTCTACATGAACATCTGCCCAGTTGTCCGATCAGACACTTCTCACAGCCACCCTGTCCACGCACTCACGGCCACTCTGGAGGGCAGTGTAGAACCTCCCCTGTGGGTTTCCAAGGCTGAAACTCTTTATAGGAGTAGAAAGCCTCATCTTTTCCCTAAGGAGTGGCTGGTGGGTTTGAACTGCTGACCTTGTGGTTAGCAGCCCAGCGTGTAACTCACTGCATCACCAGGCCAGATGTTAGAATGAACCATTAATCTGGAGACTTTTGTCAAATGCCAGAAAGCACCCTTTAAATTCAAAGTTCTAGTCTAGAGTAGGAAATAAAAGCCCAGCTTTTAAAAAATTAAAAAGGGGGCATGGGAGAGGAGGAGACAGGGGAAAGGGAGCCAGAGGCCAACAAACTCAGGGACAAGGGAACAAGAAGGAATCTAAAATCAATGGTGGGGGTGGTATAGAATGCCTGGTGGGGTTTGATAAATTGTAATGTAACTGAGAGGAATTACTGAGTCGAATGAAGAGTGAACATGATAGTGGGGCAGGAGGAAAGTAAAGGAAATAGAGGAAAGAACTAGGTGGCAAAAGCTAAATAGAGAGGTATAAATAAAAGCAATTACATATGTAAATAAATAATATATAAGGATAGGGATATTGTGCTATGTACATATATTTATATGGTAAGTATTAAGGTAGCAGATGGACTTTGGGCCTCTACTTAAGTCTTCCCTCAACACAAGAACATTTGTTCTAATAATCTTACACTGTGATACTAATCTTCCCAACACGATCGATTGCTGAAGACAAAATGGTGCATAAGCAAATGGGAAGAAAGCTGATGGTGTTGGCTATTAAAAGACATAGCACCTCAGGTCTTAAAAGCTTGAAGTTAAACAAATGGCCATCTAGCAGGGAAGCAACAGAGCCCACATAGAAGAAGGACACCACCCTGTGTGATCACAAGATGTCAACAGGATCATATATCAGAAGATCAAAACCAAACAATGATTTTGATGTGAAGGAAAGGAGACCCCAAACCTGTCTGTAGACAACTGGACATCCCCTCACCGATGGGTCACACAGAAGGGATGATTCAGCCAGGGTGCTGTTTAGCACTGAGGAAACACACACTTCCTCCCCTCATCCCCCCATCAGTTATCATGACCCCAGTTCTACCTCAGAAATCCTGCTAGACCTGAGTATGCACACTGGTACAGATAAAAACTTTCGACACACAGAAGCCAGAACAGAGAAACCCCCAGAAACAGTACTGGGAATAGTGACTCCATGGCGCGGGGGAACTGATAACAATGACAGATGTATAAGCCCACCCCCACCCCCAAGGGGATGAACAGAAATGTGGGTAAAGGGATACAGTGGACAGTGTAAGATTTGAATATATATATAAAATTTATCAAGTATATATATATATAATTTATCAAGTGTCCACGAGGGTGGGAGGGAAAAAGGGAGAGGTGATGGTGATATTAAGGGCTCAAGTAGCAAGATAATGCTTTGAAAATGACAATGGCAATATATGTGCAAATTTGCTTGGTATGGTTAATTTGAGGATTGCTGTGATATCTGTACGAACCCCCAATAAAAATGATTTAAATTAAAATATATATAAAACAGAAACACAGCTTAGGAAGAGAGGAGAAAAGTAGGGAAAGAGGAGAGGGAGAGGGAGAGTGGGGGGAGAGGGAGAGGGGGAGGGGGTGGAGGGCATTCTTACGGAAACACGCACCTGCTGATCAACAGAGAGGAGGTTTTATTTTCATAATCACTGGCCACATGTTGTTCAGTCTTCCAGCATCGCCGTTCTACTGTCAGTGAGAAGTCTGCAGCCTGTCTGCTGGGTAAGGAGCTCTGATGGTGTCCTGGTGACCTGTCAGGCTGCTAACCGCAAGGTAGGCAGTTTGAAAGCAGCAGCCGCTCTGCTGGAGAAAGGCGGGCTGTCTACTCCTGGAGAGAGTTACTGTCTCTGATCTCAAAGGGACAGTTTCACCCAGCCTGCAGGGTCACGGTGAGTCCGAGGGACTCCCAGACAGTGAGCGAGGTGTGGGTCTGGTCCTTCCACGAGTGGGCCCTCGTTTGACTTTGGTGTCCATGTTCACCCAAAGGAAATGTGTTGTCCAGTCCCCACAGTCTGATTAGTCCAACAGCGACCGACCAGGCACGGCTTGTTGTTGACCTCTGCCCTCACCAGAGTCGCCTTGAGCATCAGTTACCTCTTCAAGGAGTGAAATTGCATCTTTGTTGTGAAATGTACATGTGTGTGTATGCAGTTGTATATATAGATACACAGACGCAGATATGATCAGTGCTTCTCAAACTTCCTAATGCCTTGACCCTTTCATACAGTTCCTCATGTGGTGCTGACCCCCCACCATAACATTATTTTGGTTGCTACTTCATCACTGTCATTATGCTATTGTTATGAATTGGGCGAGCCCTGTGAAAGGGTCGTTCAGCCCCCAAAGGGGTCACAACCCACAGGTTGAGAACCGCTGATATAGATTCCTCTGCCTTCAATTGTGATAAAATGCCATATTTTAAGGAAGTTTTCAAACGCTTTCAGAAAACATATCTAGTTTGAGTCTGAGATGGCAACTTGATTCTTTCATTTCATTTCATTTTCATTTTTTTTTCCAGCAAACCAGCTGATTATGCAAAGTGTAACTCTCGGGAGATTGATGAAGCATTCTGTTAGGTAAATGAAAGCCGATGTTATTCGGCTAAAGAAGAACATGGAAATGCCTTCTCTTATCACACCATGAAGACAAGTGAACATTATTTAATCACCCTCCAGGGTTGTGTGGTTTAGGTAATTTCTAGGATTTCAGGAAGTAGACAAAGCGCTCATCCCAGGCAAGTGATGAAACGGCATGGCTGTGCACAAACTCTGAAACGCACGCTAGCAACGTGAGCGAAAGGGCTTCCTGTGTCAGGTAACAAAGCAGCAGTCACTGTGGTCCAGGGGCACTTCCAGAAGAGTCTATTCCGCTAAATTTGTACCTTTATGAGCATTTGTGATGCTTCTAGCCTGCTGAAGCACCTGGTGCTGGCCTCTGTGGAACATAAACAAATCATTGTTGGTAAGTCCTCGCCAGGACATTTCTGGAACAGAGGAATAAAGGAGTCTACTGTTGAGTCTGTCTTCACCCCAAAATAATAAGTCAGATTCAGTGGTTAGTTTGGAAAAGAGCCTGGTGAAAGGCATCACCAGCAGGGTGAGGGTTCACTTTGACGTTGTTCTGCTCCCAGAGATGTGCGGATGAGCTATTTTCTTTCCTTAAGTCGTGTTTGTCATTTTTCATCTGTTTGGGAACAAAACTAGAAAATGTTTTAAAAGTCATACACGAATCCAGTTTAGTAAACTGGAGGTACTGATGTCCATATTCTCTAGCATCCAAACTGCTCTACCTGTTATGAATGTCTCCGTAGTCACCAGTTCTTGTGGGAGAAGGATGTGGCGATCTGTCTCTGTCTAGATTTACAGTTTTGGAAACCCATGGGGGCACCTCTGTTCTCCTGAGGGGTCACTGTGAGTCAAAGTGGAGTGAGTTTGATTTGCAACCATTTTTTAAGCCACTTTCTACTGTTATCAATTCATTCCCAAAAATGAATTGCAATTTTCCAAGTAAGAGAATGAAAGTGCTCTCACAGCACATAGCAGGCTGCACTTGACCCCAAGGAAACTCTGTGTGTAAAGTCACTGTCACCTTGCTGGGTGTGGCTAGCGCAGACAAAGGAAGAGCAGATGGAGCAACTGTGAGGTGGTGAACCTTAGAGAAACTGGGTCTCGATTGTCTCCCAGCCTTGGTCCCAGCCCAGATTAACAGCAGAATCAAGCTAGGAAGGTCTTACAAGTGTCTGAATCAAGATTAACAGTAAGAATCAGGTTAACAGTAGTTTTTCCTTCTTGATTATGTTGTTGTTGTTGTTGTTGTTGGTAGTGGTGGTGGTGGTGGTGGAGGTGGTAGAGGTGGTGGTGGTGGTGGAGGTGGTGGTGGTAGAGGTGGAGGTAGAGG